GTTGCGTCTGATACCACACAACTCGTAAGCACAGTATTGCCAAGCTCTGGAAACCCCACACTGCTGTAAAAAGCTCTTGCAAATAGGAGGAGAAAACTCCGTATCAACATGGTGGAACTGGAAGGTGGTACCACAGTATGGGAAGACTGAGAACATTTCAACATTTCAAGGTTTCTTTTTGAAGCCTTTCACTAATGCAGCAAGAGAGAAACTTGTATTCTTTCACTTCTTTCAGTCATGTTGCCAATAATGACAACATGATGGCTTACTTGGTAGCACCCTTCAGTGAAACACAGTTCTGACTTGAACCTCGCTAAAGGGCAGGTTCCACAGTCTTTACAACTAACTTTGCTCTTGTTCTGGTTTTCCTGAATCATTTGCCACGTAGAAAGTACGACTACCTCGTGCTGTGCTTTAGGTTTTTTAATCCAGCTCTTTTAACTTGCTTGTGTCCAAAATTACTTGGTACGATTCTCTGTTTTGGCTTATTGCTTTTTCTTCGTCTCCTTGAAGACTGTACTCGCCTAGAGTTTAAATTTGTTTAAACTATCCAAATGGAGTCATTAGTTTCATTTAAGCCTTTTGTATCTTTTTGCTTCTTCCTCATCTTACTTCAAACTTGCTTTTGTGTCTTCATTTCTTGCTTTAAAAAAATCACAACAAAACAAAAAACCAGCAACAAAACAGCCAGTTGTTAGGGATTGCTGTTTTGCACAGAAGAAGCTTATCTGTTGTCCAAGCACTCGCTGCCGGAATTAATGTCTTCCCTCCTCTCCTTTCCAGTATAGCCAATGTTATTCAGCGAGCTGGCTGTCCTGTGCCAGACTACATAAAACACTTCCCCAAACTGCAAAGGTATGTTTATTTGAATACTTTACCAGTTTGTTTCCCGTTTTAAAAGCCTGCATGAGTGGTGGTGGGTGTACAAGCATTACAAAAGATCTTGTTGTTTGCAGTATAGTTGCAGTTTAGCTGCAAAAGGAATTTTAGACAGGGCAGTCGTGACAGTTTTTTACCTGCACAAAAATGGAAACAAAAAGAATTCTCGACTTACTCCAGGTTTTCCTGGAGTTAACTATTTTGTTATGAGTTCCCTGAAATCTGCTTTAGACTTCCTAGGCCCATACTCATGAATTGGGCTTCTGATACATGAAAGTAAGTCCTTTACTCTTTTGAGTTACCTTTAGAAAAATCGGTGTAGGGGTGTACATATATAGATACTTTTTTTTTTTTTAATTAGTGCTGCTTTTCACACTTTTTCATAACTTCTAATAGTTTCTAAAACTAGAAATCTTTATTTGACATATATTTAAAATAAAGTTTGTTTGAATGTCTTGGAGATAACTAGTGGCTGAACTAGTCTTGGAATAAACAATACTGAAAATATATTCAGACCCATAAATCCCTAACAACCAGTAAAGGTTTTCATTATCTGTTTTATTTACTTTGGATGTTAATTTTTGCCCTTTAAAGTAATTTAATCCTTCTTCACTAAATGTCGTTCTCAGCAAACAAAAGAAGAAATTAATTAAGAAACCATTAACAAGAGAGTCCATTTGTACCACCCCTCAGTGCTTCTTAAAAAAAGCCAAAAGAAAAACGTAAGTAGGTTTTTCTCAAGAGGAGGTAAGAGGTGCTGTTTATCCAGAAAAGGCCCAGCAAGCCTTTTAGTGGGCTAATGATTTTAGTGATGGTGAAGTTTTAGCGTCAGTATCTGTTCACTGAAAACTGGATTAATGTGTCAGTTTGCCTTACATGGTGCCATGTATCAGGTGATAGCAAGCTGAATTTAAACCACTGCCCTTAAAGGCAGACTTCAGACTAGCTATCATTTGACAGAACCTATCTGCTTCTCTTCTGGCAAAGGGATGGCTTTGATTTTAACGCATGAAGTATTAATACAAGAAGCAAATCTTAAGTTGTAATGACTGGAGCTCAGAGAAGATTGGCACGTAGCAGTTTGGTAGTAGAAGTGGTCATAAAGAACACCATTACCCACGCTTTTGGGGTGTTGCTACCAAAGGATTTATGTTCAGCTGTACTAACGTGATGTAAAAAGACTAATTTCTGTGTCACTGCTGTATACTTCATCTTTTTTTATATGTAATGTTCAGGTGTCTTGGTCTCCACTGTGTTTCTTGTAGGAAAACTACAAAGGAAAATATTAAGGAAAAAAAGAAAGTTAAAGAAGATAAAAATGGCAGTAAATTACAGACTGTTTCAAAAAGCTGAATACCAACAGCCTACGTGTGAGCTGGGGCTGACACCTGTGCCCATACTGAAGAACAGAAGAATGAAGTTAGCGGCAAAGGGGAAGGCAGAAAACTATTTCTTATGTTTCCTTCTGGGTGAGGATGGATGTTCACGTGCAGGAAAAGTCTCTACCGAAATACCAGTAGAGGATTCCTGAATGCTTCTTACAGAAGCTGAAGTGTGCTCTTGCAGTAAATGCCTTGTGTTTCTGAACAATAGTTCAAAAATAGCATCTGTTTGTGTTACTATCACGCAGTTTTGTATTACTCCTTGGAAATACTGTCAGTTCTGTGTTCAGATCATCCCTAATATGTTTGTCAGACTTCGAGAAGATTCAGTGGCAGAAAACATACAAAGCTTTCTGTTAGGCTTGATAAACGCAGCTGTCAAAGACTTCCCTGGACACTTCAAAACCAAACCAAACCTACTTCTATTGTAAAAAGTAAAGCTTTGCTCCTCCTACTTTTTTGCTTCTATAAAATAATTTTGGAATAACTAATACTTACGTGTCTGTAAACTCTAGTAATTTTGTACTGTTTCATATTTAAGTCTCAGAACAAACAAGGTCATAAATGATTCTAATATAGGTACCTGTCTCTCTGTGCAGCCTTGATGGAACAAGTCTGCAGGCATTATTCCATACCTATTACACAAAAAGGCCAGGCTCCTTGCATTTTCCACCTCCTCATCTGCTATCCGTGTTCTCAGTCTACTGCTGTGTCAGAATTCCAGTAATGCAGGAATGGCTTCTCTTTTGCAATATAATCCTTCTTTAAGCAAGTGTTCTTGTGCAGGATTGTCTTCCTGCTTTGTCATGCTTAATCCAATTTGGAAGTGGATCCCAGGTCTGTGTTACTCATTTACAGCAGAGCACTGTTAATTGCTCTGCCCAAGTGACAACTGTGAAGCTTTGTGAGAAATTGGTGAAGACTTTCTGCATCCTGTTTTGCTTATTCCTGAGCCAGACTGAACCTGAGTTGTTTTTGCTTTGTTTGCAGAATTGCTTCTTATATTTGGGTCTTCATTTTGACATCTATGAACAAATTTCCCTGTGTATTTTAATAAAAATGCAGTCATGTATTCTGATAAATACCAAGTTGCCTGCTGCAAGATATTGATGACAGATACGACACGGAATATGTTTAACAATTTGAGTGAGAAATTACCAATATTCACCTTCAAAGGCCCTGCTAAATAGATGTGCTTATTCCAGTAGTGGTAGCAGGAGAGAAACCAGTTTTCGATCATGAGCATCTTTGTCTTGTATAGCAGGGTGCTAGACGATGCTACAGTTCTCTTTCTGAGGAACTTAGTTTTAAAATGAGAGGTTAAATTTCGTTTAGCTCTTTCTCTAAGACTGGGTTTGATTTTAGGGTGGTTTCTGACGCTGATCAGTAGCTTAGCGAGACGTTGCTCAGGATTTACTCCCCTGTGAAGTGCTGGAAAGCTGTCACCGTGAACATCCTCTTTGCCCGAGGGTAAAGGACAACTCCAGCACTTCCACACTTTGTCACGTATTTTAGCAAGCTTTGGCTGGCCTTACAGAGAGAGAGGAGCTGCTTCCGCACCACCGTGTAAATCATACCGCACCTCATCGGGAGCGCTTCTTTTACACCACTTCCGAAGTTTTTGGCTGGCACCGTGTAAAACAGTAATATTTCCTCAGCAGGGGCATGTTGAGCAGCAGCTGTGAGGGGGAGCTGCAGCTGGCTTTCAGGTCAGCCATGGCGTGTGTATTCCCCACCTCCCCTTGACGTTGGGGCAGAAGGGCGGCACTTTTTCACGGAGAAGAGCTTTGTTTAGGTGCCTGAAGTTGACTTTATCAACACGCAGCCTCGATGTTAACACCGTTCTTGAAGAGAAGGCAGGGCCCGCTCCCGCTCCAGGCCCGCCTCGCCCCGCTGCACGTCCCCGCCC